TCGATTTAGTTCAATTCTAATTTGTCACTACTTGTAAGGCACTTGTTACTACTAGCGATGCACTTGTTACTACTAGTAAGGCACTTGTTACTACTAGCGATGCACTTGTTACTACTAGTAAGGCACTTGTTACTACTAGCGATGCACTTGTTACTACTAGTAAGGCACTTGTTACTAGTAGCGTCCTTGCCATGGCTAATTCGTTTTTTTTGCTATTTGGCTCGGTATTGACCGCTGACAGCTGCCTCTTCACTACTGATCAAGCTACTTCAACAAGAAAGGAGGCTCACTGAGGATTGGAATGCCAAACAAAGCAACAAAGACCTTGACCAACTTGAACTCATTGCCATTTGTTTTGTGTACTGTCGAAAGCACCAGCATTCTAGTTTGGCATACTCCACCTATCTCCACCTACACAACTCGGTGAAGATTCTGAAAGACAAGGACCATCGCTATGAAACGACGGACCAAACCGTCTCTGACCAGCGCTGGAGTCGCTGGCTCCGCTCAGGCGACTTCCGGGAAGACTCTTGAGGTCATTGTAAAAGAGATCTCAGTGGAAAAGGGCAGTGGCTTGGTCTGGTTGGGAAACTGCACGTTGGACACTCTCGCAGTCACTCTTAAATACATCACATATCCAAGGTGTGAAGATTGTGTTTGCAGAGAACGAGAAGATTTGGAAGACCATCCCTATCAGCACTATCACCAGCAAGGCGCCACCAGAAAGCTTTTAAGACAAAATGCAGACGCACATCGTTTATCATCATGTCACCACTTTTAGGACAATCCATTGCTGGGCCAGTGGGGCACAGAGCAACGTGATCGCAGCCGTTCACCTGCTCGCTGAGAGATGGCGCTGATAGAGGCAGAGATGGCAGGTCTGTCAGGGAGAGACCCGGAGATTGGCATGGGAAAAAGTGGCCCGAGAGCATCTTCCGAGACTTCCGAGAAGCTGAAGCAGCGCAGTCGTACGGACGCAGCGCAGTCGGTCTTCGGCACCCGTTTCTTGCGACTCAGGTTCTGTGAGGTGAGTGAGATGAGCAGAACAAATCACATGTTGATTGGTCGATGTGTCATGATGTGTCCTGATTTCTATGGTGCTGAATTGGTTTCGGGCCTGGGCGGCGGTGCTTGGTGACCTTTTTTGCAAGAAACGCCCTTCGCTCCGTTCGTAGCGTCCTTGTTCCTGCCCAATTTCTCAAGTCGCTTTTTGCCGCTTTGGGAGCAAACGTAGCCAGTCCTGCGTCAAGTTTGCTACATTTGCGCTCCAGCTTTCAGGTTTCTTCCTACATCTGGGTGACCCGCGGAAAGCCTCCGTGCTAAGTGGATTTGCCCGTTTGCCGTCGGGGTACACAGCCAACATGCCTGGAACGGGGGAACTGGCCTGGAATGCACCAAATCCCAGGTAGATTTTGATGCTTCGCATTAATGACCTCCAAATCAATAAGATTGGTTTTGTTCCTGGTGTCAGTGCTTTGGATATACAAAGTTAGAGCACATAGTGAAATGAACTCGTAGTACTTCACGAAGCCTGTGGTGGTTTTCGCCACCAACTCTGTTTTCTGATTTCGATCTTCCAAGGTGTACGGATCTGGACAAACGAACGCGCCAATTGGTGGAACTCCGTTGTGGTCATTGTGGTCTGATGCCAAGCAGAAGAGAAGGGACAGATTGCCGAGATGTTTCTCAGTCGCAGAGTGGATGCACTTCTTTGACTTGGGCATCAACTAACGAACAACATCAACTCTTTGCCGATCCTTCGCAGCAGCTGAAGCTTAAGATTCAGGGATTGGGTGTAGAGCACCCAGATTTGAAGTGGTTGGTTGAGGCTGCCATATCCTAGTGACCGCTGCATGAGCCGAGCCGAGGTGCACTCTTACAAGCCTTGCTGAGAGGACCTGTCGCTGAAAAATGCGCAGATTGACCTGTCAATATCACCGAAGACTTGAAGCCAATACAAGCAAGAATGCTTCTTTGAACACCGATAACACTTTAGCAACCTTTAGGGCCTGAGGGTTTAAGCCTGGAACTCACCAGGCACGATTTGGTTCAGCCGATTTCTGGATGTCTTATGCAAATCGTTGTTTTCTCGGCTCAAACCAGGTCGCAGACATTTCCTCGCAGGTCACTTGGTCGCTGTCGTAGTCATGTCCACCAAGAAGCAATCCAAGGCCGGTTCGCCCTCGGGAAGAAACCAGCATCCAATGTGAAAGACCTAGGAGCAAAGGAAGCTACTAGGGGCGCTCCTGGCCTTACTACTAGTAGCAAGAAGCTACGAACGGAGCAAAGGACATCGCTACTAGGAGCGATCGGACGCTACATCGAACATCGAACATCGAGTCTCCTTCGATGGCCTCCTTCGATGTCGATGTCGGTCGGTCGTCGTTTTCGTCGCCAGGCTTCCAAGTCTCAGGACTCCATCAATGCTGGCGGCTGAGGATGAGCTGGAGCAGAGCTGTTTGTGCAGAGAAGCTGCTAGGGGCTCCTTGCATCGCTACTAGTAGCAAGGACGCTACTAGGGGCTCCTGGCCATACTACTAGGAACAATTAAGAAGTTACTATTCTCTTTCATCGAGGCGTTTGTGCAGTTCTCTTTTTTTTGGACCGAGAATTTGGGTCGCACATGTTGAACTCTAAGGCTCGTTTACAGCTGGTGATGAAGAGTGGCAAGTACAGTTTGGGCTACAAGACCACCCTGAAGACCCTCAGGCAGCTCCTTGAGACAGAACCTTTTCGAAAAAGACAGCTGCTCTTGCATCGCCATAGTTTACCAAAGGTCTTGTTGCAATTTTTGTTAGTGGTCTAGAATGTTGGCCAGGGTACTGGATGCGTTAGGGAAACGGGATGTTGAAGCTGAGCTGATGCTACTTGTAGTATTTTAGCCATGTACTAGCCACGAAGCTATTGTGGTAGTCAAGAGTATGACAGCGTCCTAGCCCTTACTGTACTAGTCAGACGCAATTGAAAACACAAAAGCTCAAGCCATTTGCAAAGCCATTCCATCGATATGTTGACTTATCTCAGCCTTTGCTGCCGTGATGTGTTGAGGCAGGGTAAGTCCAAGCTGATTCTCATCTCCAACAACTGCCCTGCTCTGCGGAAGAGCGAGTGGCAGCCTTACCCCTTTCGCGCAAGAGTGACTGCATGCCTCCAACCTAGTAGCGATGGCCTCCCCTCTAGCGAGCAGACATGTGTGTGACTGATTTGGTCGAAACAACCGCTTTCTAAGGATCGAGTACTATGCCATGCTGGCCGCCAAAACGACAAACCGCACCGACCAAACCCAATTCGACGTGTCGGCCGTCCGGAGGCGAAGACGGGAGTGCACCATTTCCACGGTGACAACAACGAGTTGGGCACCGCCTGTGGTCGTTACTACCGCAGGGGACCTCGGAGTGTCCCGAAGTGAAGAGTTTTCAGAGCGCCTGGTGAGATCTGAAGTCAACAGATTTGCAAGATGAGATAGGTAGGCCAAACTTCCCCCGAACAGTCATTGCTTCTCCATTCGTCCTGATTTCATAGGATATTGCAAGGTCTTTTTCTTGGGAATATCATTTCTCTTGGCACCTTTGGTCTTTGGATTGGAAGCTTCTCGTGGCCTAGGAGTCTCTTTTTGTTTTGTTTGTGCTTCTCAATCAGCGATGGCCGAACTCAAACGTTGCAAAGGCGTGAGCTGCCTATCCATCACTGATCCGGGTGACTCGGACATCATTCGAAGCCTGCCTGGTCAGGTGGGGCGCAAGCTTCGTGGCGAAATCAACTAGTAGCGATGCCTTTTGCTCCATTCGTAGCTTCTTGCTACTAGTAGTATATAATGAATGCCCTTGTTACCAGTAGCGATGCCCTTTGTTAGTCTTTTGCACGTGTGTGTTCGAGCTTCAACTTGAATAGACTGAAGTGACAGGAGTGAGCTTGTGCTGGAGGTGCCATAAGATGGGCAGGACAAGAGTGCCTTTTTTCTTTCAGAAAAGGCACTTCAACTTGACATGACTTGATTCTTCTGCTGCCATGTTCATGGAAACAACACTTGGGACTCTCGGAATGACTTGGGCACACCACAAGTTGTTTTTGCTCGTGTTCCAGGCAACAGCCATCAACAGCCTCCAGTAAACAATCCAACGAACCCGACAAACGAGCATGCAGAAAGATCTCTCTTCATGGCAGGACATGTGACGCAGCGAGGAAAAATGGCCAAGCACCTGTCACTGGAAGATGTTAAAGCTGACCGAAGATAGAAACTTTCGATGGCCCACGTTCCTACGGTTTGAAGGGACTTCAGGGGCCACAGAAACCCTTGAGTTGGATGAAGACTCTCAGAACAATGCCTGAAAGAAAATGTTGGAGCCCATCGCTAGTAGGTTGGAGGCCATCGCTAGTAGGTTGGAGGCATGCATACGATGAAACACATATTATATATGCCCAGATCTATTTGAACTCCGTGTGTTTGTTCCAACAGTATTTCAGGTGACCGCAGGCATTTCCTCACTCGTGCCTGTAGATCCGTTCAGTCGCCATGTCCACCAAGAAGCAGTCAAAGGCCAGCGAACCAGGTGAAACGGACAGATCGTGACACAGATTATTGCCGAAAAGATTGAATGAACCAAACTCGCAACATACATCCACTCACCCTTTTCGGATGATTTGAATTTATCAAAAAGCCAGTTATTGCTTCTGATATTATATCGATCCTCCAAAAACATATTTTCTCGGAGGACGTGTTCACTTTTTGGTTTCGGACGCTGAGGCGTCGAAGTCCCAGGACTCCATCAATGCCTGGGAACTCAGCGTGGTGTCCGACTGACCCAGACCTGGTGCCACACCTCGGGTAGCGTCGCTACTAGGAGCGATCGGACGCTGCTAGGGGCAAAGGGCATCGCTACTAGGAACAAGGATGCTATGCTCCGTGGAGGCCAAGTAGGTTGGAGGCCGTCGCTACTAGTAACAAGAAGCTACTAGGAGCAAAGGGCTTTTTGGGACCTAAGGCACGTTTGCAGCTGGTGATGAAGAGTGGCAAGTACAGCCTGGGCTACAAGACCACACTGAAGACATTGAGGCGCAAAACCCACAAAAACCAACAATGAATGGACATGCTGCGTCATACTGACTTGCCTTTCCAAGTCATGTGTTGCACAGGCAGGGTAAGTCCAAGCTGATTCTCATCTCCAACAATTGCCCAGCTTTGCGCAAGAGCGAGTGGCAGCCTTACGGCTTGTGCACATCAAATGCATGCCTCCAACCTACTAGCAATGGCCTCAGCATGGTACGTGACGATGGATTTGAGGATCGAGTACTACGCCATGCTGGTCAGCACCCAATGTGCGATCAACATGTTGACTTCTTTGAGCGAGCAAAGAGCATCCAATCTCTGGCATCGTGTAAAGTAACCAACGATAAAGAGACATGCATAGATAGATACATACTATATGTATTTATATGAAGGTGGCTCTTGCCAAAGCAAGATCAACCAAGGGTTTGGCTTGAAGGGTACGACGTAGAAGGAGGTAGGAAGAACACATACATTGGATTGAGTTGAGATACCTTGGCTTTCACATGCGAGATCCGAAGGCAAAGACTGGAGTTCACCACTTCCACGGCGACAACAATGAGCTGGGCACTGCGTGCGGTCGATATTATCGTTGGGTGCTTGGACCAAAGAAACCGACGGTTCACCCATGGCTGGAGGGTTCAAGCAAAAGGAGCCTAATAGCGATGGCCTCCAACCCAAGAGCGACGGCCTCCACCCTAGTAGCGATGGCCTCCAACCTAGAACGAAATGCATTTAAGGGTGGCTTCAAATGCCTTTTTAGTAATGTACCTATATATATAGAGAATTTCTCAACAGACTGGCGTGGGCTCATGCAAGATTAAGTGCGCAAAAAGATTGCCCACGTCGCGCTGACGATTCCGGCGATCAAATCCATGGGAGCCGTTTCGAGTGCTGAACAAGTCTCACTGCCTTTGAAAAAGCCAGATTCCCCTATCAAACACCAGCACTGGGCCTTCAATGGTCCATATGCACCAGTGGATGAGGAAGTCTTCCACGCATTGACGGTCAGAGAGGGGCAGCTTCCCAAGGATTTGGAGGGCTGCTATCTACGAAATGGCCCCAATCCTTTATGGCATCCTCCATCCGAGACCAGCAACTATCACTGGTTTCTGGGGGCAGGAATGGTTCATGCCCTTCGCATCAAAGATGGTGCAGCTAGCTATAACAATCACTTCCTGCGAACCAAAGCGTTTATGGATGAGCAAAAGAATGGTCCAGTCTTTGACAAGATTGCCTTCTCAACGTCCATGAGTTCCTTCCTCCTTCGCTTCGCCTTGGAGAAGGTGGGTTTGGCCCGTGGATCGGCCAGTGGTCCCAGCAACACCAACCTCGTGTATCATGCTTCAAGATTGCTCGCGTTGTCTGAAGCCGACTGTCCCATGGAGTTGAAGATTCTGGTCGATGGTCATCTCCAATCCCAAGCAGAGTATGCGTACAACAACTTGTGGAATGCACATCCAAAGGTGGATCCTGTCACAGGTAAGCTGTACTGGTTAGACTATGACCTCACTGGTGTTACTGCAAAATTTACCTACGGGGTCATTGATACGAAAGGACAGGAGGAGCGGAAGTGTACCGGTGTCCTTGGCGGAGGCAAGGCAGTGATGATTCACGATTGTGGCATCACCGAAAAGTATGCCATCGTGATTGATTGCCCCGTGCTGGTGGGTATTGAGAACTATTCCGTGGAAGGTAGCCTGTGGAAGTTTGATGCAAGTCATGGCGCTCGAATTGGCATCTTTCCCAAGGATGGAGAGAGCGGAAAGGTGAGCCCAACATGGTTCCAAATCGATACATGCTGGATTTTTCATCTTGCCAATGCATGGGAGGAGGGCAACACTGTAGTTATGGTTGTGGTGCGATGGGACAGGATTGACATGTCAGGTCATGGCAAGAAGGATGACTTTTTGTCTGGTAACAAGAGAACTTTGCACGAGTATCGCTTTGACATGGACTCCGGTGCTGTTGTTGAGAAGTCTTTGGCCTCCGGCTTTGAAACGCTTGAGTTTCCCGTGATCAACCAAAAGCACGTGGGACGGAAGAGTCAGTTCACATGGGCAGCTGGCAACTTGGAAGGTGAACCACCGTTTCATCGCATCTTCAAGTTCGATCTCTCCAATCCAGAGAGCTATGCCAGCTATGCTTGTGTGAGTGATGGCAAGAAGCTCACTGCAGGAGAGGCCTACTTTGTTTCGAAGGGAAGCGCTGAAGATGACGGATACCTGCTCACTTTTGTAATCGATCCAGAAGGCAAAGCACCGAGTTCCTTCTTGATCCTAAATGGTCAGAACTTGCAGTCAATTTGTGTCATTGATTTACCAGCTCGCATTCCTTTAGGCTTTCATGGCCTGTGGGTCTCCGAGAAGCAGGTGAAAGATCAGATCAGCAACTCTGTGGCTGCCAAACTGTGATTTGGTCGAAAGCGTCCTTGCTCCTAGTAGCGATGCCAGGAGCTACGTCGAGAGCTTCTTGCCACAAATCGAAGATTTCTGCGTCGTGTTGTGGTCACAGGGTTCAACTCATGACCGCAGCTGGACAATCGCTGTCCCTTTGTCTAACGACATTGGTTGGAAGGGCGGTTAACTTGCAATTGTACAGAGCATTTCAAGCAGTTATGGCACAGATGAAGCCGAAAAAGAGCCACATTGAAGAGTTCTTGCTTAGCCTTTGGATGCGGAAGTACACGATGAAACTTGCTTCAAAAGTTTAGTTCCTTCAGACCTAGGAACAAGGACGCTACTAGGAACAAGTGCATCGCTTCTAGTAACAAGTGCCTTACTAGTAGTAACAAGGACGCTACTAGGGGCTCCTGGCAGCACTACTAGCAAGGACGCTACTAGGGACCCTCCCTTCTTAGTGACAAAGCCTTTCTTTCTTTGGTTTTCTGTGTTCAGCGGTTGAGGTGTCAGTTGCCTATCCATCACTGACCCCGGTGACTCCGACATCATTCGCTCCCTTCCTGGCCAGGCTTGATTCTTTGTGGATTTCTCTCGCTGCATCCGACCGCTCCGTTCGTACCGATGTCCTTTGTTCCTAGAGCTTCCTTGTTATTAGTAAGGCCAGGAGCTACTAGTAGCTTCTATTTTTGGATGGGCCGATTTTCAAGCGCAGAAGTGGTGCTTCAGGAGTGAGCACGATGAACTTGCGGATCAACGAGAGGAGGAAAAGTGTCGCTACCACGATAAATCATTATAGATTTGGATTGATTTGGTAAAGAGTATATATGACAGCAGAATCTGTCTCTTTTGTTGCTCTGGCCAAACTGCCAAACCCTTCCAATTGCACCCACAACTTTGCCTCCACCTGCTATGATTGAGGGCGCGATTCTGCTTGCTACGGCATTACTTCCAAGAACTGCTCAGAACTAAAAAAGCAAGACATCAGTGTAAAAAGACTAAAGTTGGAAACCAGCAAATTCAGAATCAGCAAAATGGCTTTGCAGAATCTCACAATATTCTACCTGCTCTTTACATGCTTTTGCTGTGGAGCAGCGGTTAATCTGGATTCATTGACCTCGATGGTCTATTTAGATGAGTGGTGCGGCAACACCGATAGATTGCCTAGCTCGGCGTTTGTTGCGCGTACTTCCAGAAGAATGTGTTCTTTGCAGGACTTTGCACGCAATCTTGCGACTTCTTTTTGCTTAATTCTTACAAATCCACCAGACCTGAGTTGGGCAGTGTGCAGTCATGGGGGTAGGGATGGATGCCAGCAGTGGTTGTAGCACGACTTCGACAGATTAGGACGAAACACAGCATGGACGGCAAAGTAGAATATGACCGCAAGCCTGGCACCATGAGCAACAAGTCACACTTGAGCAAATGGATCCATGGTAACACTAAACTCAACTTAAAGAGGATTTGTTTTTTGGAATCAATGACTTTTGGAAACCGCTACGTAATTAGTGTCAGTAGAATAGAACGCGGACGTTTAAAAAGAACACAAGTTCAAGCCTGTGTGCTCTTTTTTACACTCGATTAACAACTCGATTACCTTGTTTGTATCTACTTTACTGAAGCGGGTTAATTTTGCATACATTGCTGACATTGAGTATTAAGGGAAGAGATTCTGACCGTCACCTTGCCGGTTAGATCGTCTTTTATATATATATATGTGTGTGTTCTTCGCGAATCAGCCCTTTGCCCGAGAAACCTGCACATGGTCTGAGCAGACAATCCTATACAAAATACATCAACATACGTCTTTCTGATTCTTCCTTATGTTTTGATTTTTGTGGACAAGGGATTCGAATGGATGCATTTTTCGTGGACTTTGTGCCAATACTTGAGCGTATTGTGTGTTACTGCCGACGGGTGGGGGAGCAGGAATGAAACAATAAAAGCAAAGGAATGCGGGTTCCAAACCCCTTTCTTCCTTGTTTCGTTTCATAGAATCACGACGTGATCACCATGTGACCGACCACATCCTGCCGACGATCTGAACCTGTGGACTGATGGGGAATACGAAGCCTTAGACGGAAGTCCACCTCGAAAGCACTGACACCAATGTCGATTCGATCGGTGTCACTTGTTGCAGCTATTGGCTTGCTTTAGCTTGTCAATGATGGACTTGATAGTTGCGCGCATCGAAGAAATCGATGACGCGTGCACCACTTTGATCATGCGTGGCTTGAACCGTCAAGTCACCAGAGAAATGGTGGCCCGAATGTTGCATTTCGGTTGCAATGGTGTTGTTTTTTCCTTTGGCACAGCTTTTTCAATCACAATGTTGAGCCATTTGAGAGTGGCGAGGAGCAAAACCAAACCAAGTAGAAAGTGTGAGAAGTTCCAGCAACTTCGAAGTAGTAATAAGTCATGTTCCTAGTAGTAACAAGTGCATCGCTAGTAGTAACAAGTCATGAGTTTCCTTTCGCGTTTCCTTTCGTGCATACTGAGGGACGAGACCGCACCACGACGGGGGATGCACCTTCTTCTGCAGACAGGGTGCATGACAGACACGTTTCTGCAGATTTTCCAACTGAGAAGGAGCCCCATTCGTAGCGTCCTTGTTCCTAGTAGTAAGGCCAGGAGCCCCTAGTAGCTTCTTGTTACTACTAGTAAGGCACTTGTTACTACTAGCGTGGCACTTGTTCCTAGTAGCGTCCGATCGCTCCTCTCAGGTATAACTACATTTATGTCCCATGGACGACCGATGGCGCGTCCAACATCGGTCTTGCGCCACTCGGTCGAAAATGCTCCGAGCTTTTCCGGCGCTCTACCGACGCTCTTGCTGAACACTGCAACAGCTGAGGTTTGCAAACTTTGAAACCCCGGCTGCTTGCCAGGCAAGTTTGGTGCAAGTTTGCAGATTTGCTGATATATGTAAACCTTTTTCTGCCTTGAAGCCTTAGCCTTGCCGACAGGAATACCTTGTCGCAGTTTCTATGCCTCAGAACCGCCTCAAAATAGCAGAGCATCACGTCAGATCGATTGGTCCGGCAGCAATTCAGGGTAGAGGCGCCAAGATGTGCAAATTGCAAGATGTGGACATACAAGATGTGAAGCTAAACAATCTTCTTTTGAGTTACTACTAGCGATGGCCTCCAACCTACTAGTGATGGCCTCCAGCCTGCATACAAGATGTTTCTTTGTTTCAAGTGCATATTTAATTCCGCGGATTGGGGTGCCAACCTTTTGTGGTTTGGTTCATCAGTGCAAGGAGCAAACTTGAGCGCTATGCTTGGAAGAAGGGGACAAGAGGTGCAGTGCAGTCAAAGCAGTTTGGTTTGCAGCTCTGTGTGGAAATGCCAAAGTGGCAGAAGCAAAGTTGTTCAGTTCTCAATCATTAAATGCAGCTTAGGACGGTTTAGGATGCCCGGAGTTTGTCGTTTTTTTGTGCACTCGATAAAACCGCCTTTGGAGATATCGAAGGGAAATAGAGGTGATGTTTTCAAGGGTTCAATATCATCCAGGTCACAGGCTCTTGTAGCTACTAGGTGGAAGGCCATCGCTACTAGGTGGAGGCCATTGCTAGGTAGCTGACTGGAATGATTGGCTTGTGAAAAGCTTGTTCCTTCACTTCACTAGACTTGCTACTAGTAGTAATGCCCTTGTTATTAGTAGCTTCTTGTTACTACTAGTAAGGCACTTGTTACTAGTAGCGATGCACTTGTTACTACTAGCTTCTTGTTACTACTAGTAAGCACTTGTTACTACTAGCTTCTTGTTACTACTAGTAAGGCACTTGTTACTACTGGCGATGCACTTGTTCCTAGTAGCTTCTTGTTACTACTAGTAATGCCCTTGTTACTAGTAGTAATGCCAGGAGCTACTAGTAGCTTCTTGTTACTAGTGGCGATGGCCTTCAACCTAATAGCGATGGCCTCCACCGAGCATAGCGTCCTTGCTACTAGTAGGATTTGCTTGGGAATCACGGGGTAAAGGCAAGAAGCTACTAGGAGCAAAGGGCATCGCTTCTAGGAGCAAGGGCCTTACTACTAGGAACAAGAAGCTAGTAGAAACATGTAGAAACAATAAATAGAATTTGCTTCAAATAGAATGGCTTCTTGTTACTAGTAGCTACTTGCTCCTAGTAGTACGGCCAGGAGCCCCTAGTAGCATCCTTGCTCCTAGTAGCGATGCCAGGAGCCCCTAGTAGCGTCCTTGTAAAGGCAAGAAGCGTTCTTAGCTTCGGCCGGGCTGGCAGGCCCTACGTGGCTTCGACGCTCCCTTGGTTTTTCACCATGGCCATGCGGCCTCGCTGCCGGACGTGGCTGATCGGGAAGTCCCAGGTGAGACGGAGAGCGGTTTCACTAGGAGCAAAGAAGCTGCTAGGGGCTCCTGGCCGTACTACTAAGAGCAAGGACGCAAAAGGAAAAAAAAAAAAAGACTTTACTCCAACCTAATAGCGGCCTTCAACCTAATAGGGATGGCCTCCGAGTCCACGTCTCACCGTTCAGGTGGACTAGCGCAAGCTTTGGCGCGGGCAAAGGCGGTCGCCACGAACGCCTTGGCATCTCCGTACAGATCTCGAAGACATATCGCCGCCATTGGAGCTTTGGGTGAAAGTCCACCCACCCACTTGCTCCTTGGAGAAGAATCGGTCGAGAAGTATGAAGCCATACGCTTTTGGACGTCGAGTCGAGTTGTGAGGCTTTTTGGAATGTCTTGGGGTTGAACAAGAACTCATTCTTTTGTAAGAGCCCGACTACATACAGCCTTTGAGCTTTGGCCTTGACCCCCGACACCATAAATAAGGGGAACGGAATAAATGACCAAAGAACGAAAGGAAGGAAAAAAGACAGGACAGGTCCAAAGATCTAAATGTGTAACGGAAGGACATGAAACCAATCATAACACATATAAGCTAGTAGAAACAAGTGCATCGCTTCTAGTAACAAGTGCCTTACTAGTAGTAACAAGAAGCTATTAGGCCGTACAAATGGATCGAACGCATATCCTTCACCTAGGCAAGCTGGAGAAGCTTCCGAACCAAGGCCGCTGCAGGAGCGCCTCCCTCCAGCCTTCGGAAGTTTCTTTCCTTTTCCTTTTTAAAAGGTTGCCGGTTCATCCGGCTTAAGACGTGCAAAATCGAAGGAGCTGGTCCTTTCCTTTCTTCCTAGTAGCTAGAAGCTACAAGGTTGGAGGCCATCGCTAGTAGGAAGCTACTAGGGGCTCCTGGCCTTACTAGGAGCAAAGGGCATCGCTACTAGGAGCAAGGATGCTACTAATAGCTTCTGGCCTTACTAGCTAACCTGCTTTCGCCATATTTGGTTGTCAGGCAGTGGCAAGCTCTGAGCGTCGGCCTCGGAGCCGAAGGGGCACCGAAAACATGTCCTGATCCAATGGAGCTGCGCTGGCAGCTTTTTGGGCTTCTTGTTACTAGTAGCTACTTGGGCTTTTTGTTCCTAGTAGCTTCTTGTTACTACTAGTAAGGCACTTGTTACTAGTAGCGATGCACTTGTTACTACTAGCTTCTTGTTACTTGCAGCTACTTGCTCCTAGTAGTACGGCCAGGAGCCCCGTTCGTAGCGTCCTTGCTCCTAGTAGCGATGCCAGGAGCCCCGTTCGTAGCTTCTTTTTGGACAACAAGTAGAGGAGCATCAGTTTTCTTCAAAAAGGATTGCAAGATGGCCTTCCAGGACGAGGTTGACAGACATATATAGACATAGTTGCCTAGGTTGGAGGCCATCGCTCTTAGGTTGGAGGCCATCACTAGTAGGTTGGAGGCCATGCTCTTGTGAAGAGAATGAAGACTTGTTCAATGAGCCAGCCAGGCTCAGCACCCAGGTCTGACCGCCGAGGCAGACTCAACTGTACCCCAAAGATGCGTAAATCTTTAGAGCCGTCAGGCAAGAGTCGTTAGGTATTAAATCTCCAGAGGTCCAACTCGATGGCCAACCTAATAGCAATGGCCTCCAACCTAGAAGCGATGGCCTCCAACCTAAGCCATGAGAATATTCAAGACTATTCAAGTTTCTAGCCTGAGATGTAGCCTCCAAAGATGTAGGCGCCACGCCGCCATGCACCGTTTTGCACGAAGTCGAAGCGAGCTGATCTGTCTGACAGACTTTCATCAAGTTGTACTTGACATCATATTGTGCTTTGGCCTCAGTTTCGCAAGCTTTTTGAGGCCTGGCAAACGAGAAAATGTACGAGACCAACAACAGCCGATGCCCAAAGTTCGGGTGCTCCGGCGCTTTTGGAACACAAGGATGCTTCTAGATTGGAGGCCTTCTTGTTACTACTAGCGTGGCACCTGTTACTACTAGCGTGGCACCTGTTACTACTAGCTTCTTGTTACTACTAGTAAGGCACCTGTTACTACTAGGTTCAAAACCATTCCCATTATATAGATTCCTTTTGCCATTACGGACGAATGCTTCATGCTGTTTTATTTCTTTTCCGTGGCGTCATGAGCACCACCCATAAAGTTCAGTGTCATGGCCGTCATGGGTCATTTAAAGGTCATTGTCATTTTGATTTTTGTTGTTCCAAGTTCATTTCGATGCTGGAACTGAATAAAGACCTCGTTGAGCTCGAAGCTGCTTCGTTCCGGCTTTCTGCCAGATACAGGTCCCACCTCAACCGGGCGCCGCAGTTCCTTGTCGTTTGGAGTTCGATTTCTTGATGTTCGTTTTCCGAAGCTGTTCGCAAACGGATTGGACTTGGGACTAAGGCAGTTACAAAGATGCTTTTTGACTTGTGACTTCGGGGTTGAAGGACTCAGTGGCGTGGAGTGCCAAGAGGGTGCTTGGAAGATGCGTTCGCGTTCCCAAGCTTTTGTTCTTCAGCCATCACCAAGTGTCTCAAGTGCTGACACGTGATGTGTATGGATGGACCGCCGATATTTGTGTGTTGCAGCCATTGCTAGTAGGTTGGAGGCCATCGCTACTAATTACGTTGGAAAGTGGTAGTTTGTGAAGAGAAAGGAACGGTCCAGTTCGTACATGCTGAGCGTCCATTTTCAAACGTGTCCATTTTTGTAGGGGGTTTGGCGAGGTTGGGTGATGTATTCTTTGAGAAGTATGTATTGCCACTGTGCCGAAGGTTGTCCTGTGAATTCTAAATGTACCAACCACCACCCGACAGCTTGTCTGCAAAGGGCAGGCCATTATCCGGTGTCCTTGCGTGTGCAGATACAATGTGTATTCAGTCATTTTTGTGTTGTGGGAACCCATTGGAATGGCATCGTATGTGTGTGGAATACACCTCCTTGAAATCTGCCTAGCTGTGGTATTTGCACTGGAATGCGATCAACGGTCGGCAATGCAAGCCTTTGCAACCAATCCGTCTGACCAGAAAGTCCTGCAGACTTTCAGAAAACACACCTTTTACGCACTGACCCGATTTACACGTTCTATATATTGTTACTACTAGCGTGGCACTTGTTACTACTAGCGTGGCACTTGTTACTACTAGCGTGGCACTTGTTACTACTAGCGTGGCACTTGTTACTACTAGCGTGGCACTTGTTACTACTAGCGTGGCACCTGTTACTACTAGCGTGGCACTTGTTACTACTAGCGTGGCACTTGTTACACGTTCTACATATTGGTATGTAATATAATGTAACGTATGTGTATGGATGGATGCACGGATCTTTTTCCGGAGTTTCTTTCTTGACTGCTTACTCGAGGGGGGGCTTTGCCCTGGTCTCTAATAATTGAATGGATAGTGATAGATCTGGATAGAAGTGCTCTTAAGTTGTTTTTATTTGAACCTGTTCTGCAGGACTTTGGTCAGACACAAGGAACCCCTGGCTTTCAGAAAGGCATAGGGGATTGAATTCGTGTTTTGCACACACGTGTCGTAGAAGGTGACCGGCAAATTCGTTGCGAAGATTTGCGTAGGACTCCCTGCAGGGCTCGAGACACCTTTCTGCGACAGACGATTTGTTAGAGTTCACTGTGTGTTCATCAATCTGCAGGAGACTCAAGTGATATGCACTACCTCACCCCCGTAAACAAGAAGGGCTAGGGAAAATGACCACTGGTCGGTGAGAAAGTCGCAGTTGTTGTGCAACATCACGTTGTTGTGCAGTGAAGGGGACAAGGGCCCCAAGATTGCAATGAGTCTCCTCCAGCTTGATGATGGGGCAGAAAAACAGGCCTCAATTTGTTTGTAAAACTTCGGGCAGTATCTCGCGCACGTACCACCGCAAGATGTGCCAGCAAGCTTTGCAGCCTGCTTGTACACCGTTGTTCAGAAAATATCTTTGGTAGTCAAGCAGCATCACAGTGTTGGTGTGCTGGCCTCAAGAGTGAGGGTGATGACAGCAAGCTGCAACTCAGCTATTCTGACATCTACCGACATCCAAACTCCAGCTTGTTTGTGAGTTGGACAAAATGATGGCGTCCTAGTGCTGGGGATGAGTAGCGCCAAAACTGTGATTTACCTTTTTATGAGCAGAGGAAAAAAGAAGGTATGGCTGGTTAACCCCCCTATAAAGGAGCAGTTGTTTAAGGACCCCTGACTGCCCATTACCTTCTTTTCTTTTTGTTCCCAGTCAGTCTATTCTTTTTTGAACACCTTGTGCTGTGTCGAAACTTTGGCTGACCAGCCGAAACTAGAATAAAGATGCCAAATGACTGCAAGTGCTGCACGGGAATATTCTTTTGCCAGAGGAACACTGTGTTTGAACACTACCCACCCACCGACAAACAGAGCCCCTTCCGTTGTGAGCACACCAGTGTTCGCGTGGTCAGATGAGAGACTTCAGTCTTGCACACTCCAGATGAGAGAGCGAGAACGTGGTACGCTTGAGAATGGATGGAACAGGCAGGGAGTATACTAGCGATGGCCTTCAACCTAGCGATGGCTTCCAACCTGAGAGCGATGGCCTCCTGAGAGCGATGGCAAGTTTGTGGTATTTTCCTGTGTATCAAACGAGCTACTAGGAACAAGTGCCACGCTAGTAGTAACAAGTGCCACGCTAGTAGTAACAAGAAGCTAGTAGTAACAGGTGCCTTACTAGTAGTAACAAGAAGCTATTAGTTAATCTTGCGATAGGCACTGCTCCAGGGGACTGCGGCGGTTGCAGAGGCAGCGAAGCAAGGCAGACTCGAAGAGGCGCTGATCACCAAACACGCGTAGGTGAACTGAATAGGAACCGAATAGGTTTGATTACTTTCAGTTCTCAACTTGTTCCTTTTCCACATGGAGCATGCCCATCATGCAGGTTGTCCACAGAAGTGGAACATTCATCATTCAACTTATTGCAGATTGCATCCTGTGGTTCTCTAGATTTCTCTGGAGAAGTTGGGTCTTAGTGCCAACTCTTGAGGTGGGTTGTCTTGCTACTCAGAACTCGTGCAGAAAGGAGGAAAGCTGAAAAGGAAGGGTATGAATCGAGCTGACCGACCCAATAGCAAACCATCACCCAAAAGGTAATGTATTTACCTGCACGATCTTCCACTAACAAGCTGATTTGAAGACAGAAAGACAGAGACACCACAAAGCAAGACAGGGACACAACAATGACACGACCGACCAACAGTCCATTTCCATTTTGGATGCGAGCATTGCGTAGCCAGTATTGCGTAGCCACACGTATGCGTCTGTGACAGACTCTTAGAAGGACGGAAGGTCTCTTCCTCTCATGGAGGACATCGCTATTAGGTTGGAGGCCATTGCTATTGCTACTAGTAGCGTGGCACTTGTTTCTAATAGCAAACATTGTTACTACTAGCGTGGCACCTGTTACTACTAGCGTGGCACCTGTCTTATTTTTCTTGTTCCTTCCACGGGGCCACTCACTCTAGGCGCTGCGGCGCTTGGCTTTGTTACGGGACCGCGGTCTGCGGCTGGATGCAGCAGTGCACCATGCAGCTCTGGGTGGAGCCAAACGTCGATGGCGAGAGGCATTGCAGATGGCCATCCAGATGCAGCAGGAGATTGATTGAATGTTTTCCGATAGCATTTGTACATCTTTGGGTCTAGGTCTTGAATGTCAAGGAACTCTTTATTTAACATGCTTGAAATCTTAAGAACACATTCAATCGGCAGTCCAAACATAAGAAAACTACTTAGAATGGGCAGAATGCTTTACTTTGATGTTGAATTTTGAGCAAGCATGCTTTACTTTTGTCCCGTTAGCAAGAAGCGAACGTATGGTTTCGCAGGAGATTTTGCTGTAGCTGGCTATGGTTTGTTGGCTATTGCTTGTAGTACCCCTGGTGAAGAAGTAGGAGAACACAAGATGAGTCGAGAAGAAATAGACTGAATTGTGAAAGGTGAGCAAGTGGAACCGTGAGCGTACGTCAATTAACAGTCAAGAAAACAGTCCTTTGGATCGATGTCGTGACCAGAGGGCAGACATGCTGTGACATTGCCACTGCATTTCTTTTTTTCCCTTGTTCTTCCTGCGTCATTTCTTCCAGGATGGCATTTCCTTCACTTCGGTGACTTTCACGTGCGCACAAATTGCCGGCACAAGAAGAACCAAGTATGTGAAATTCAACATATCGTTGCAAAGAATTGTGTTGTGCATTTGTCTTACATCTTTCATCATCTTTCCAAAGTGCCACACCAGGGACACGGGACTTGCTTGATTCTGCAGAAGGAAGATGTAGGCTTACAGCCATAGGAGTCGCAGACACTTTCTCTGAGCTATTCTGAAGCTTGTTCCCTTGAAAAGGGATGTTTGATGGTTTTCGTAGCAAGGAATTGTTGATGCGTCGCGTAGCAACACGGACACATGGACTGGATACGTTTCCTAATAGCGATGGCCATGCGATGGTCTCCAACCTACTAGCGATGGCCTCCACCCTAGTAGTGCCCTTGCTACTAGTAGCGATGCCCTTTGTTACTAGTAGCGATATCCATCCTGGCGTTTTTTCTCTGTGAGTCGTTTGGTCGTTCGGTCAGTTTGCTGCTCACCGCGTGCCGCCCTCATCGCTGGCGCCGTGCTGCGCTGCTGCTGGCCGCAGCGGGTGGACGGGCCTCACGAGCCACCTGGAACGTGGCTTTAGGCCAGGTCCAAACGGTCGACCAGACATGGCCTCACTCACGGCTGGGTTTCGTAAACAAGTGGTGGGACGCACTGTTCAGCTCATATTGGCATCAAAGAAATGGTCTACTGAGTAGACAGAACTTATATCGGCATAAATACGGATAATAGTTTAAAATAAATTCAAGACCTTGAAGGCTCTGGCACGGGGAGTTTCGCTGCAGTGTGCAAAACTCCCTGGTCGTCTGGGTAGTCCGTTCAGCTTTGAGGCCTTTCAGCATCGCCCGATGGTGCTCTCGAACTCTTGCATCAGATGCGAGGGGCATTGCTCAGGCTTTTGCGGCAGAAAGGGAGAGCAAGTTGCACAGCGCCAGCTGCCCTGAAGTGGCTTTACTGTGCTCTAGAACTGCAACACGCACACACATCCAGCTTCTGCTCCATCTTCTTCCCTTCAAGATGAACAAAGAAAGGTAAGGGTCCTTCAAAGCGGGATTCTAAACCCTTATATTCGGTTTTTTGAACTATTTTGCAATCATTTATATTCAACAGCGAGCCCAAAAGAGCGTTTCAACATGTTTAAACAGATGACCTACTAGGCGACCCCATCAATTGACGTAATGACTCTTGCTAGTCTCTTCCTAGGCCGGAAGGACAAGCGCGCGTTGGGGTAGGAAGGGGAGGAGAGGTAAGCCCTTTTTTTGGTTTGGCAATCTTCACACAGAAGTTGAAACGCGGGAGGCCAGACGATGTAAGCTATGGGGCGATGGTGAGCAGCTGCAGTGCTTTGGATTGCCGGTTTGGATCAGAGGGATTAGACGTGGAAAAGACTTATAATTAGACGTGAACTGGGATTTTCAGTCATATATATATATATATAGATGTTCTTTAGAATTTGTGTTGGAGTGCAAAGTGCCTTGGCAAGCCGCTGGTGAAGTGACGTGTTTTTGCCACACCATCTACTCTACATTGCATTCTCACAGCCGACTTGATTTTTTTGAAACCCGTGGATGTCAGATGGCTTTTGGAACATGCGCACCGCACAGCAACATGTCTTGTGTGGTCGCATTTCTCACGATCCCTGTGTTCCCACCGGGTCATCCCATCGAAATTCGCGAACCCCTGAACATCACATGTTTCAGCAGTCCAGGTGCACATGGTGCGTTGGTAAGCAATCCATTTGCACGTTGTTCTCGACTGGAGCGGAACTCGAGGTCAGAGTTTTCATTGGATGGAAGCTTTCCAGATGCTTGTGATGGCTCAGACCAATGGCTGCAGGCTGCACCGCCACACGGAACAAGTGATCATTGAGTTCGTTTCGGTGAAAAGGTTGCAAACATGTTTTGTATTTGTGTTCCCGCCCAAGCTCTGTTTCATTCCCCGCATGTCGCTGCCTGGTTCGAGGCTCTCAGAGAGCGCTTTTTGCGCAGCGCTTGCTTGTTGCAGCCGCAGCAATCGCTGGGTTGAGGCCGAGTCCTTCAATGTTGTGATCTTGCCTCTAGGGAATGGACTTGAAAAAAGAAAAATGTCAATGAGTCTTATGAGTCTCATGGGTCCTCAGAAAGGTCTGAAAGTGGTGTTCGAGTCAAGTCGCGAAGAGAAACCTTGAGCGAATGGCTGGCAGGCGGTTTTTGATTCAAAATGGTTTTTGATTCAGCTCTAGCGAGGTGTCTGATTCATGTGAGGCCTTGGAGACCTTGGGGAAATCAACGTCTGAAGCAGGGCTTCTTGGCGTCGCTTTTCCAGACCTGAAGGCACCTGTTACTAGTAAGGCACCTGTTACTACTAGCGTGGCACTTGTTTCTACTAGCTTTTTGTTACTACTAGTAAGGCACCTGTTACTACTAGCGTGGC